ACACACACACACACACACACACACACACACACACACACACACGCCCCTACATTCACTGATAAGTGAGCCACTGACAGGCCTCACATCCACATGAACCTCATCCACTGACACATTTAGATTTGGTGACCAGTGTGTGAGTTGTTCCTCCACAGATTGAGACAATAAATATCCTGCGTTGTGCATTAATAAATGTGACCAGCAGGTGTAAACGAGGGACTGATTTACTGATGGAGACTTTGTTTTTATGCCATAAAGTTAAAACGACCTTGCCTTATAAAACAAAAGATTTTCCAAACAATGTCCAAACAATGAGGAAATAAAGTCATGAAAAAGTTCACTTTGTGCTGCACGGAGTGAAACGTAAATAATTTGTGTCTGGAACCAAAAAGTGAGGCCTCACAATAAATTAGGCTTCAGCTCCATTCTGGGATTCACAATAAGGACGGTGACATGTGGTGCACTTTGCTGTGGCTCGTTCCAGGATTTTAAACCTATTCTTGAAACACTTTCCCTCATGAATATTGATGCAGCAGCAGACGTCCACTGCACCATGTCCAGATACAGCAGAGGTCACAGCCGCTGCCGAACCTGCTCTCTGGGCCTGAGATCTGAGGAGACGAGTGGACATCTAAAGCAGCTTTATTTGGGGAAACAAAGCATCGAGGGCTTTCATTATTCACAGCTACAGAGGTGGCATTCATCGAGTTTGTACAATGCTATTCTAATCCATACGCACCTTCCCTGACAAGGCACAAAGTCACTTGTATGGGAAGCTTGTGGCCTGTTTCCAGGGATTAACAACTCCCTGAGGAACAGAGCTGCAGTGTTGACTGGCTGTTTGAAACGTCTGCTCTCTGCTGCTGCCCCCTGCTGGTTTGCATGTTACATGATCGTGGCTCTCAAAACATTAGATATTGATGGAACTAAACATGTAGCTAAAAGTGAAAATGATGTATTACTGTGACACATTATTCTATCAAATCTGTAGTATAAAGTGCCACTAATGTAAATCAATAATCACATAACATTCTATCGAACAAGATGTTGTCAGATATGGTTTCCCCACAAAATACATAACGTACGTACAATTCAGGAAAACCCTGAATATGCAGATACTTTGTTAGTTTGAGGTATTTAACTGTTTAATACGTAACAGGACAAAATCAGTTTCAAGTTTCAAAATCAAACTAGTTCTGATGTCACAAAACATCAAACTCGTTCTGAGATGAGAAACTTTCCTCCTGCAGCAGACGAATGTGAATGAACCATCTGGTATCAAACTCTGCTCACACGTTACCGTTCTGAATCATGTTTGAGTCTTTAGAGATTCAAGCTCTACTTGAACTTTGAATGATGGTTTGAAACACACTCTGAATGTAGAAGACATTACAGGCACAATAAAGTGTTTGTTTTTGTACAATATTCACAATCACTTGAGTTTCATCAACAGCGGCTCAGGAGGTAGGGCGGGTCGTCCACTAACCAGAACTTCTGTGGTTTGATTCCACAGCATTGTGGATTGTAACATCAGCCTTTTAACATCTTCATGTATTTATACACCAGTCACCACATGCCCACAGGAAGTGTCAGAGTTTTTAAGACACGCACATGACTAACTTCAACCTACGTCCTCCCCCAGCGCCGCCTGCTGCTGCAGAGGATGGGTGTGGATGCACAGTGTCAAATTACAGACCTGCTCAACAGGCCCCGCTGCCTCTCCCTCTGCAACTTAATTGGTTGAGGCCCAACCGCTACTTTCAACCAGCCTGCTTCCTGAATGGCAAGTATTTTGTGTGAGAGGAAGTGACATCACGACACCAGAGTCCTGCCACACAGACACAGTGGAAACAGATGAGGACCAAACACTCTTCAGATGTGCTTTGACTCGCAGCTCAGCCTCCATTCCAAAAATCCTGTGAGGCGAAACAATGAAAGAGTAAAAACAGATTTTGGAAAAACACAACGACACAAATATGTCTGCTGGGCACAAAGAGACGCCGCGAGACACTACATGTCAAACTGGGACTGTTGTTTTTTCCTCCAACCCTCTGATGAGTGGTGAGTAGCTGCTGGCAGCAGGAGTTCACACTGCAGCTGGAGTGTATTCACTGCTTTACTCAAAAACCTTCAACATTTCTTTTTAATCCACATTTATGTGATTTGAAAGTTTGTTTTCATGTGTTTTATTCCAAGATGTGGAATCAGACTGGTCTCCAATTCACGACGCAGCCTTCAACGGACGAGTGCTCACTCTGCAAAAACTCATCACACAGGTAATGTTTGATAGGATTCTGTTTTAGGAAACATTTTGTTGGAAAATCATCAGATGTGTGAAATACGTATTCACTCTTTGCTAAAATATGAAATATATCATTTGAAAAGACACAACTCATGAGCCTCTGCAGGATTTCTGAATCTACATGTGTCTGTTCTCAGGGTATATGTGTAAATCTGAACACACTGGACCGGGTCTCTCCTCTCCATGGAGCATGTGTACAGGGCCACGAGGCTTGTGTCAAACTTCTGATGGAAAACGGGGCAGATGTCAGTAAAGCATCATCGTCTAATTTTGACTTTCTAACAGTTTTAAATTACGACAGCATGTTTTGTGTTGAAAGAAAAACTCAAATCCTGCTCTGTGGTCTTGTTCGGGGGCAAATATATAAACTGTTGCTGGGTTTAACTTTGCAAAATTTGCATTTTAATGACAAACTCTCGCGCTAACAAGCAGAAACATGCTCGATTGCACAATAACACATTAACTAAGAAAGATGTGCAGATACAAAGTCCAATTTTTTTCAGCCACAACAATGCACTGCATGACGGAGGGAGACGTAATCAGTGGATGATTTGTTTTAGTACAGAAATGATCTTAACACTGTTCCTAATTCTTTATCTTCATTTATAAGTGTCACTTGACTTATTCTGGCTTTTAGTTTGAGGATTTTCATCAGGAATCTTTGCTGAATTATCTAAAAATACCCCCCCCCCCTGTCTCTCTCTCAGGTAAACGGTTCAACAGTGGATGGAAAAACTCCTCTGACAGAGGCCTGCGCCCGGGGTCACATGACCTGCGTATCGTTACTCCTTCAGCACGGAGCGACTCCCGTGGGGACCAGTCACTCCAGCTCTCCAATCCACCGGGCTGCAGCCAAAGGTTAGGGGGTCGCATTCTTCAGCATTTACGCACGGATAATAAATGCTGAGGCAGCTCGGTCGGTCACCGCAAAATGCACATGGAGCCAAAACATCAGAAAACGCTCTTTGAAAGTTTATAATGTCTGAAAACTGTGTGTTAATGTGGCTACAAAGAAAAACATCTGCATATTTTTCTCACAAGCAGAGTTCAAAGAAGAAGATCCCTTCTAGTGCATCTTTTCTATTTTTGATGATTCTGATAAAATCTCTCCAGGTCACCCAGAGTGCATTGCTCCTCTTGTTCAGCACGGTGCAGACGTGGATCAGTATATTGAACAGTCGGGTTCCCCTCTGCACGTTGCATGTTCCAATCAGCACCCGAGTACTGTGAGGAAACTGCTTCAGCTCGGTAGGAGACGTCTCACACACATGCACTCTTCTTTTAGGCTCAGGATGAAGTAACTTGGATCATGTTTTGTAAATGATGACAAATTTAACAAACTAAATGTTTTAAGTGAAAGAAAAAATAAACGAAGAGCAAAAATACTTTTTTAACAGTAAAAATCTAACTTCTAACTCACAGTTTTACTTTACCTGAGAGAAATATTGTCATTTTTACTTCACCATACTTACTGATTATTTAGACATTTTGCACATAAAAGTTAAAGGTTTTTAAAGTTAAACAATTTTACTTTTAAATACTATTTGTAGATATATATGTATATATAGCAGAGTAACTACTTTTTACTAAATGTTAGGATCAGTGTACTTCCTCCATCACTGTAGAATCATCACATACAACTACTGTAGCTTATCATTTGTAAACTTTAGTATTATAATACTATCTGGCACAATAATTAAACAGAATAACAAAGCGAGTTTCTCCAATTAAAATTCATGTTGTGCTTTGTTTCAACTAAAATCAATATTTCTTCATCTTTTGGAATATTCATGAGTGAATTCAGTTTAATTAGAAAATGCCACCAATTCTTGAATATGATTAGTAAAGATTTCGTGCTCTTTGCTGCTGGAGAAGAAAAGCATGAAGTGACCTGTCAGAGATGCTCTCCAGCAGTTATGTAACGTGAGGAGATCAAACCTCATCAGTCTCCTCTCTCCTTCAGGAGCCGGTGTGAACAACAGTGTGTCTGGTGACTCGCCCCTGCACATCGCAGCTCGTCTGTCCCACCCAGAGCTGGTGTCTCTGCTGCTCGACCACGGGGCTGATCGCTCCCTCAGGAACCCAGAGGGCCAACGGCCGCTGGACCTCGCGCCTCCCAACAGCCTGGCAGAGAGGCTGCTGAGACAAGCAGGAGGTATTC